TATCCTCAGTCATTTAGGTAGGATGCAAGGGTTCATAATAAATAGCAAAGACACAACTATCACTCAGGAAATTCGAAGGGTTTCAAAGTTACCTCTCAGGAACCAGAGATGAAGGCCAAACACTATTACCCGATGGCATCAGTGCCAACCTTTCCCTGTCTGATCCTGTTTTCATCCCTTTCCTCACACAAATATTGATCCCAAGTGTACTCCTTAATAAACTTCCTGAGCACTCACTTTTCATGGAATCAGCATAACAGATCTGATGCTAGGAATGCTCCAAGAAAGTATAGCACGATTGGATTTTGGATCATGTTAGCTGCCAATGAGTGAGTGGTGTCAGGTAGAACATAGCTTAGGGTATATTTTGCTTTACCTCAGACTACATCAATGGAACCAGCCAACTGTGGACAAAAAATTCTGAAACCAAGAGCAAAAATTAATCTTTCCTTCTTTAAATTATTTTTCTCTGGTATTTTGTCACAGTGACAGAAAACTGACAAACACATCAGAGGTCCTTCTGAAAATACCAAAAGGTTCTTATCTCCTGTAGCCAAAAGGTAGAGAAAACTGACAGCCAGTTCCAGGATTTAAACAATAGCAAGTGTGAATTTAAAACTGGGGGAAACCCTGAATAAACTTTCTAGCTTTGCTCACTTTCAGTTGTTTACTTTTAGTTGACTTTAACAATAACTAATTATGAAGGTCCCACAGCTGACAAATATATTATTAATCTCCCAATAGCCTTGCTGTGACAAAATACCAGAGAAAAATAACATCTCTGACATGAGTTAGGGCAGTGATGGTGAACATTTTAGAGCTTTCAATTATAACAAACAGCCCACTGCAGCGTAAGTGCCATAGGTTCGCCACTACTGGGTTAGGATAATAACAGTTGCCTAGGTTACTTTTCAGGGACTTGAAGGTCACTTTTGTTGAAACTACTGACTCTTACTACTCTGTCTTAAAGAAGGATAAACATGAAACATTTTTAGGTAATGAATGCCCCTTGAGATCATAATTTTAAGTGAAGTAAATCAGATACACAAGTTTAAATATTGCATTGTTTCTGTTGTGGGAAAAAATCCAAAGGGTAAATAAGGAGCAAAATGGGGGATAAATATTGGGAAGTAGGAAGATTATGTTCAAATGGGAGGCAAAGGGGGAGGAAGAAGGGAAGGAAGGGAAAAGGTATAAAAAAAGAAAGAATGGAAAGAAAAAAATGGAGACAAACCCTTTGTAAATGGGGAAGTGAAGAAGAGTTGAAGGAAGGGGAGGAGAATAGGAAAAAAGAAAAATTAAGACATATTCTTGCTTTGGTCTGTGTTTAGATGTCCCCCAAAGCCTCACGTGGATGAGGTGGGGCTTTCTTTTTCAGAGGAAGTTGAATCTGGAATGTGTGATGCTGAGACTAAAGGCGTATGATTACTAAACCACTATGTGTGAGTGATTAGTTTTGCACTGCCCTAATCCCGGTAGTCTGAATAAGATAAAAGGGGCAGAAAGATGCTGTTAACCCTCTTGTTGCCTTTGCTACCATGTGGGTGCCATGTTGTTTCTCCTCTGTGACGCCTGTCTGCCGTCTACCCTGCTTTGGAGCCAGCAGATCATGAACTGAAACGTTTACGAACTGTAAGCCAAATAAACCCTTTCCTCTAACTGGATGTTGGGTATTTTGTCTCAGCAAAAAGAGAAAAGTAACAAACACAGTTATGTAGAAGTACAAATTCCCTATGATGAATGTGATGATTATGTATGGCAAACATGTATCAATACACAAATTATAAAGAAGACCAACAAAAAAAAGAAACTACTGATTCTTCCTTTGGGTCTCCCTTTGGGTATTCAGTGGGTAACCTCCTTGGCTTCAGGAAGCCAAACGCTACCCTTAGACCACGCTAATGCTGCCATCTTATTTTTCTTCTTCTTCCCCTTACTTTTTTAATTAGTGCATATTGGTTATACAGATTAATGGGTTCCATTCTGACATATTTGTATATGCCTTAACATACTTTAATCATTTCCCCCAGGACCCCCCTTGTCCCTGCCTCTCCCCTAGTTTTACATGTTATGATCAAAATATGTTAATGCTGCTATTTTCTGAATGTACATCCTATGAAGAGCCATGAAGATCGATTACATATGTGCAGACCGCTGATCACTTCACTTCCAATCACCTTTCTCCACACTTTATATTGCCTTGCTTTCTGATCAGATAAATACCCCAAACCCTGTCCTTATCAAGGCTGATTTGAGACATGGGTCTCCCATCTTCACGTGCATGGCCACCTGTGAATAAACTCTCCTTTGCAAAACTTGTCATTTCAGTGATTGGCAAACTGTGAACCTATTTGGTAACAGTTTGGTGAACCAGCCAGGGGGCAATCCCAAGCAGAACTTTTTCCCATGGCTTGACAGCCCTTTGCCAGTATTGAGATCCTGAAGTCCAAGCAGCTGCCTGAGTCACTTATCCCAGCTCCTGTCCCTGGGTCTTTCCCTACTTTGGAACCCAATCTTCCATGCACAATTTCACTTTTTCAACAAAAATGGTTTCTGGATTTGGGTGGCATCTTATCTGGTGAGTAACTTTAGTACAAGTGACAAAATTCCTATTTCTCCTTCCCTTTAATTTGGTCTTCATTTTGAGGACTCTGGTCTCAAGGATCCCCAATATTGGACTTCCAAAAGGAAACTCTGGTTTGGCCTTCATTGTGAAGAAGGATTAGGGAATCTGTAGTCACAGAAATTCTTCTTTGACTTCCAAAAGGAAGCATTAGTCTGGTCTGCTTTGGTCTGAGAGCCGATTCTAGCCATCATGTAAATAACATAATTATATATTTTTGACTGGCTATATCTAAATCCTGAGGAATAGGAAATGTCAATTTGATCCCCACATGCAGCCCATTGGGTTGCATTTTCCAAAATTAGGTGACTTTCAGCAACAATCTATGAAAAGATTTCTTTTGTGATAATCCTAGTACTGTTTGGAATCAGGAAGAAGTGGGTTGAAAATGGGACCCAGAGACAGCATTGGGCAGAATTTAATTCAAAACCATCAAAGAAAATTGCCCCCAGGACCCCTAGGAATAGCTTTGGCACAAGGCTACTCTGTTCCTTGACAGTGACAGGGATTTCTTCTGTACTTATTACATAATTGAGTTATAGTAACATCTTATGGTCTTTCTCTAGTGATTTCACTTTTGATTCTGCATGCTTACTTGAATAGTTTTTGTTTGATTGACATGCCTAACTTGAAAGATTTCTAATGAAGAGCATTAAGATAATTCTTGAACTGCAATTATAGGGTTAATATGTAAAAGCTTTCAGTTCTCTATTTTTCTTTTGCTGACTTTATTTGCTCATACTGTATTAAGATAAATTTGTTATTCAAGGTCACTTGGAAGTTTTTGTTTAAGCCAATTCTAGCTAGAACACAAACACCTAAGTGCTAACTTGTAAACTCATTTGAGATTAAGAAAAGGAAAAAATAAACTAAAAGAGACTTTTAAAAAAACCAAGGTGCTATGAGAACTGCTTTACCGGAAAAACTTAGTCTATAGCCTTTTTGAGACTACAAATAAAAATCTTAAAGTTTACATAAATAAGTGACCTTAACTTTTTCCATTTGGTCATAAATGTAATTTAGATTCAATCATCTGCTATAAACCGTAAATTTGCATTACATATTACTTTGTTTCATGACTAAAATTCTAAAGTAAATGCTATAGGATCTTTGTGTGTGTATGTGTTTATGTGTTACCTTTGTACACATGTTATATGTTATGGCTATGTGATAAAATCTCTGAAGGTACTTTATTCAAATTGGCTAACAGATAAGTGAGCATTCATGCAAATTAAAACTGTTAAATTAATCCAAATACCTTTTAACCCACATTGGCTGGTTCAGTAAGAATACAACAAGGTCAGGGTCCTGACTGGGCAAGAGTGCACATAACGGGCACATTTGAGTTGAAATACCTGAAAATTCTAGATTATCCTCAACCTGCTGAGCATACCAAAATTGTCCCACCTTTCCTTACAAAAGCTAATGCTCCATCTTTGCAGGATGATGCAAAGGTCTTCTCTCTGCAAAATAATATTCACCACGACCACCACCATCAGAATACATCCCTTTCTACTGGTAACTAGGCAACAATTAGAGTCAAGTGACTATATATGATATTCCAGGGATCTCATAGGACTGATAACATTAAAATGCAACCCTACCCCAAAGAAATTGTAGGACCTGGATAACAGGTACCAACATGAGCCAGGAGCATTTGCATGGGTCTGAATTCTGAAGGTTATAGATAGGGGAACATAGAACATAAGCTGGAGAATGAATTAATTAGGGAGAATTCTCAGGATGCAGGATTTAACATTCACTTAAGAAATCCAGGTAATAATGTGAACACACTTAGGAAGTCTTCTAAAAACTGGGAAGATCAATAATCCACAGTGTACCAAGCTAAGTAGAAATGCCAGAACGAGTGTAGTAGACAGTGTAAGAGGGAATATAACAGCTCAAAAAAGAAAAGGGAGCAAGCTAGAGTGAAATAGAGCTGCAAACCCCGGTAGATGACTATAATACTCACCAAGTCAATAAATAGGTACTCTGTAACAGAAGTATCAACATTACTCAGAAGTCCAATGGTGGCTCTCTCTTTAATCAAGGGACTCACAGGAAGATTTGAGAAAGTAGAAAAAAATGAATTAGCAGACTCAAAAATAGGAAAATGGAAATTATTAACTCTGATAAACAAAAAGAAAACAGTCGGAAAAAAGTGAAGGAAACCTGTGGGACACTAGCGTCGTTTAGATCTGGGAAGTCTGCAAAGAGCCCACGTGTTAAAGCTTGACCTCCAGCTTGGCACTGTTGAGAGGTGCTGGGAATGTGAAGAGGTGTGGCCTAATGGGAGGTGTTTTGGTCACTGAGGTTGTACTCTTGAAGGGGGTTGTGGGACCTGCTTCCTTCTTCCCTCCTTCTCTTTCACTTTCAGGGAATGAAGTGAGCAGTTTGCTTGAATATGTATTCCCACCATGATGCGCTGCCATAGGCCCAAAGTAACAGGGCTGATTGACCACGGACTGGAAACTCCAAATCTGTGAGCCAAAATAAAACTTTTCCAATATGTGATAGTGATGGAAAGCTGACAAACACAAAACAAGCAAATCAACACACATACTGTGGGAGTTCCAGGAGAAGAGGGAGGGAAATAGGAAGAGACACTATTTTGAGAAATATACTTGCAAACTTCCTAAATCAGACTTTATAAAATTGAGGAATTTTAGTCAACAAAAACACTACAAACAGAGTAAAAAAGCAAACATCTCACAGAATGGGAAGAAAGGTTTTCAAGTCATATGTGCAATATGCAAAAGATACCCAGAATATTTAGAGAGCTCCTAACACTTAACAACAAAATGACAATCTGATTCAAAACTGCATAAAGGCACTTTGAGGCCATACTCTAAAGTGAAGTAAATAGGAAACACATGTATGAATACTGAATGGTTTCTCTGGTGCGAGAAACTGAAAGTGTAAATAAGGATCAAAATGTATAGTAGATAATATGAAATAGGAAGAAAAGGTCCAAACGGGAAGGGGAAGGGGAAGGGGAAGGGGAAAGGAAAGGAGGAAAAGGAATAAATATGAGAAAATGCAAAAATGGAAACAAAGTCTTTGTAAATAGGGAGGGGTGGAGGGGTTGAAGGGAGGGCAGGGGAAGGGGGAAAAAAAATAAGAACCAAGAGAGATTATGTAAAGGTACAAATTTCTAGTAATGAATGTCAGCATATTGTATACCTAAAATGTACCAATAAAAGTTATGCTGACTGTAAAAAAAGAAAAACCGCATAGACATTTCTCTAAAGAAGATATATAAATGGCCAACAAACCCATGAAAAGATAGTCAGCATTGGTAATATTGGAGAAATGTAATCAAAACCACAATGAGATATCACCTCACACCTATTAAGATGGTTAATTTTTTAAAAAGAAAATAACACATAAATATTCACAGCAGCCTTATTCACAGTAGCCAAAAGGTGAAAAAAATCCAAATGACCATTAGCAGATGAATGGATAAACAAAATGCAATATATACACACAAATAGAATGTTATTTAGCTTTCAAAACAAAGGAGATCCTGACACATGCTACAACATGGATGAACCTTGAAAATGTGCTAAATGAAACAAACCAGACCCAAAAGGCCAAATATTATGAGTTTGTTTCTATAAGCATCCTACAGCAGTCAAATCCAGAGTCTGAGAGTGGTGGTGGTTGTTGGGGTGGGTAGGAAGAGAGAATAGGACATCATTGTTTCATGAGTGCAGGGCTTCAGAATCCAGAGTTTCAGTTTGGGATGAAAAAGGCCTGGAGATGGATGGGATGGTTGCATGTAGTGTGAATGAACGTTATTGACATATTAAACTGTACACTTCAGATGGTTAAAGTGCTAGTTTTTCTTTTTGTATATTTTACCACAATAAGAAAAATTAGGGAGAAACAGTTTAAAAGTTTGCCTCCTTTAAAGATTTAAAAGATAAATAGATGGTGTTTTCATCATACCTCCATTTGATTTACTGGTTTGGCCTCTGTAAAATCCAAACACATTCCAGAGAACTGAGATGGACTATCACAAATCTAACCATTTGTGATACTATTCCCATTTGTAGTTTCTGTGCCTTGTTGTGAGAGCTTTGCCAGAGTGCATTAGCAGGAATTTGGGTACATGTGTGGCCAATGACCTGGTAAATCCACTCTTTTTCTATCTTGTTCAGAAAAGAATCAAAAACAATTCACCACATTCCTTTGTATGCAACAGTGTCCATTTTTAGCCTTGCCTAAGAACTAAGTTAACTCAGCTGTCTTCTGTCCTAATGTAGTCGGAAAGGACATAGCTCAGCTGGGCATCCTGCAGAGTATCACACTGGTCCAGTTAACTGATGACACCGTTAGTGGAACCAAATGCACAAGAGGTGGCCAGCAGGTTGGAAGTCTTGGTAAGTCACTTTCACTCTTAAGGGAAATACACCTGAAAAGAAACAGGAGCCCACCACACAAGTCATTTTTTAGAATTCAGTGTTTCTTGGGCATGCTGAAACATCCTTTACCAAGTAAAGGAGAAATTATTGCATCTTGTATCTGCTATCACAAGAATGACAGTACAATGACTACTAGGTAGCTTCTTCAGGTTCTAGAGGTAATGTGTTCCTAGAAGTACTGCTCCAGCTCATATACTGAGTGACAGAGAATAATTTGTTTTCCTTACAAGGAAAGGACTCCACATCAAGTTCAGGCTTCAGGGCAAGCATCTGGCCTCTTGGACCATATGATCCATGAGATCCTATGGTATTGGGGACAATCAGTAGTAGAAAAAGATGACATGTAGGTTTATGGTATGCCCCAATCAGAGAATCATAATGTAGGTCCTGGATCAAAGCCATGCCAGTTGCAAAAGAGACTTAGGCATCTTTAAAAAAAAAAAGTTCTTAGGCCGGGGATTTAGGTCAGTGGTTCTGCCGCTTGCCTTACAAGCGCAAGGTATTGAGTTCAATCCCCAGTACCAAAAAAAAACACCAAAAAACACAAACAAACAAAAAAACCCAGTTCTTGGAATATTACTAGGCCCTCACAGATAAAAGTGTCTAACCATGGAACATCAAACGACCATGCTATCAGAATGACCCCTGACAAGCTAGGCTCTATTACATCCACCAAGCCACAGTTTAGTTAGGATGGGTCTAGATGGAAGAAGTAAATTGAGGACTGAACATCAATAAAACAAGAAGGGACAAGCAAGTTGCATGAGCAAGCAGCATGCAGGTAACTCATGTCATCCACTTCTGTTACACAGCATTTCTCTGTCACCTCCATGGGTGTGTGGGAGACAGTTTGTACCAATCAGCTCACGGGAGCTTACTGTTAAAATTTCAGAAATCTTACGAGCCTATTGATGCCATGTTGGTAGCTTGAAATTGACCTAGTATAAACATACAATAAAAACTAGCTAATACTAAAAAACAGGTGTTTTGGGTTTTTTTCAGAAAGCTGGTTGTTAAGTTCTTACTATTGTATCACTGCCAGTGCATATCTATGATTGCATGAGAAGGGGATCATACATGATTCATGTAGGATGGAAAAGCCTGAGTTTGATTCACAAACGGCTGAACTTTGTACCCCAGGACAGGCCAGAAATGTACGATGGCTACACAGTTTCCCTACTCAGGAAATCTTGAAATACAGAGGTAAGTAGACATCCTTTCAGAGGGAAGAATTGCAGGGTGTACACCTGGTCAGCCTCTTAGTGTGGTAAAACAAGTGGCTGAAACTTGGACTCCACAGAGACTCATGGACAGTGTAATATATCTTGTCCAGGGTCCTGGAAAGAGAATGCTTTGGGAAGATTGGAGGACAACAAAGCATAGGATGAAGCCTTGCGGATGGCCATAGGGAAGTGGGCAGAATGTAAAGATCTTTGCATTGTATGTTAATCAGAAAATATCCACCATGCAGAAGGCACTAAAACCATATCATCCAATTAATATCAGCCAGCCTCTGTCATTGACCATCAGACAAAGGGACTCAATATTAAAGCAGGTCCAGGAGCAAGTATATGACCATGTTCATATTACATACTGCAATACCAAGAGGTCACTGGCCTGATAGAAGGACCAGCTCAAAGACAATACCTTGTGAAGATGGCATGCCATTCTTTAGAATGCAGTGCACTTTCAAAATGAATGACCTTTATAGGGTGCTGTTTCCCCAGCAGGTAGAATATATAGGTCTTAAAAAAAAATAGTGGGAGCAGGAATATCCCTACTTCCCTTCACTCCCAGTGATTCATTTTGGTAATTTGTGCTTCCCATTCCTAAAACTCTAGGGATTTAGCACTTAAGAATACCAGTTCCTAAAATACTTCCACAATGGCTGCCACTTGGGCACTTTAACCTTCTTACACCAAGGGAGAGAAATGATGAGGAAGCAGGAGGGATTCAAAGCAAGAGAGGGACTCAGTCCACCATTACTGGCTTTGAAGAGAGAGAATGGGGGCCAGGAGCAAAGAAATAAGTGTACTCTCTAGAAACTGAGATCAACTGTTAGCTGACAGCCAACAAGGAAACAGCCCTACAACCACGAGAACCAAATTTTGTTGATATCTCAATGATCAAGGACACAGACTCTTCCCTAGAGTCTCCAAAAGGAAATATAGCTCTGAGGCATCTTGATTTTAGCCTGGTAAGTGCCTGTCAAACTTCTTTCATATGGACCTGTAAAATATGATTCTTATTGCTTTACGATGCAGTAATTTGTTACAGCAACAGTGTAAACCTATCACATGAGGAAGGTGGTACAGACCACTGGATTTGGAATAACAGGCCACTGGTGATCCTTATAGAAGCTGTTTCAGAAAAGTTATGGGGAGGAAGACCAAATTAGGTGAATTGGGTGAATGAGAAATAAAAATATAGAGACAACTCTTTCCAGGGAAAGAGGGATGTGACACAAAGCCTCAGGAAAAGCCTTGAATTCTGCTAGACTGAGAAAGAATTCTAGTTGGTAAAAAATGATGCCGGGGTCTCTCAGCAAGGAGGCATGTATATTAAATACAGCACAATCAGGCCCCACCTGGAATGCCAGGTGGCTTTGTACTAACATATGAGGGATCTGGGGCAAGGATACCTGTGAATTTTCCTGGCCTGTGTGTATGGACATCCAGCACAGTTGAAATGGCTGTGGTCCAGGGTTCCAGGAGCAAGAACTCTAAGTGGCCACATTTTGTTGGACGTTTTTTGAGGACACCTTGCCAGGTTGGTGAATATTGTCCTGAGGAGAGCTCCAGTGGAGCCCTATCCTGCCCAGGTCCCAGGGAAGGAGCCCTGGATCCCTAGACCCAAGGAAGGTTCTGCTGCAGGATCCAGTCATTTCTACCAGGTGCTCATCATGAGAAAATTGTTTGAGAGAGAGAGAGAGAGACAGACAGAGAGAGAGAGAGAAAGAGAGAGAGAGAGAAATACTCAGCCTTAGAAAGAAATCTTACAGTAGGGTCATGAGTTCAAGGCCAGCCTCGACTACATAGTGAGACTGTGTCTCCAAAAAAATAAATGAAAAAGGGCTTGTGGTTCCTTATGAATTTTAGGATTGTTTTTTCTATTTCTATAAAAATGCCATTGGAATTTTTGATTGGGATTACATTGAACCTATAGATTGCCTTGGTGGTATGAGTAATTTAACAATACTAATTTTTCCATTTCATGATCATGGGATTTCTTTCCATTTATTTGTGTCATCTTCAATTTCTTTTATCAATGCTTTATAGGTTTCAGTAAATATATTTTTCACTTCCTTGGCTAAATTTATCTTGAGATGTTTTATTCTTTTTGTTGCCTTTGTAAATGGGATTGTTCCTTTGATTTCTTTGTGTATTTTTTGCCCTGTTTATGCAGGAAATTGAACCCAGAACCTTGAGTGGGCAAGGCAAACAGTATCACTGAACCATATCCCCAACTCCCCTTGAATTCTTTCTGGATAGTATGTCTTTAGTGTACAGGAATTCTAGCAATTTTTGTATGTTGATTTTTGCGGAGTTCCTTGCGACACCCAATGGGTCAATGTCTACTCGAGTTGACTTGGGAGGCGAAAGGCTGCTAACTCCAAAGGGTCAAAACATCTTGAAAACAGGATGTTTTTCCAGCTCTCACAGACATGGACCTTAAGGAGAAAACAAAGAAGCTCCTGAGGGGACAATCAGATAAAAGTTAATTATTCAGCCAAACTGTTACCGTGCCTTGCTCGCCTGCCTTGCTACCTAAAACAAACATCTGCACTCAGCAGAACACTATGCCTTTGTTGTTTCTCAATAAATCTGGGGGCTTGAGTCAGTTCAGGACTTCAGTCCATTCTGGTAAAGACTCCTGGCCCCCCATAAAGATATTCTCTGTCTCTTGCATCTTCATTCATCTCTCTAACAGAATTTGCTGGCCTGAACCCAGCAGATTTTATATTATCAACTTTACTGAATTAGCTTATTGTCTAAAGTCAATTTTTTTCTGGTACGGGCATAATGCCTTCTCTGTTTTCTTTTGGTTTCTATTTTCATGGAATATATTTTTGTGTCCCTTTCTAATTTCAGTCTTCCTGTGTCCTTAACGCAAATATGAGTCTCAGGAGCTTTCAGTTTAAGTCTTGTTTTTAAAATCCATACAGCCACTCTTTTTTAAAAAAAATTACGGCACTTAGTCTGCTTACATTTCGAGTATTTACTAATAAGCGAGGTTTTACTGTTTCATTCTGTTCTTGGTAGTTTTCTGTTCTTCAGTTCCTCTGTTACTTTCTTTGTCTCTTGCTGATTTCCTCTGTGATTTGTTAATTTTCTGTTGTGGTGTGCTTTTATTTCTTTTGTCCTTTGTGCGTCTATTGTAGATTTTTGCTTTCTGGTTACCTCAAGGTTTACATTGCTCATGCAGTTATAAAAGTACATTTAAGCTAATAATAATTTAATTTCAATCACAAAATAACAAAACTCTATACTTTTGCTCCACACACATTGTTTTTGATGTCACAATTTACATTTTAATTGTTTATCCATTAGAAAGTTATTGTACCTACTTTTAATATTACAGTGAGTTATAAGTGCTCTACCCCTGCCATTAGTAGAGCCCTAGCATACTTCAGTTTGACTGCATATTTTCCTTCACCAGTGAGTCCTTTCCTCTCATGCATGCTTTCACGCTACTCATTATCATCCTTTCATCTCAGTTTGAAAAACCGTCTTTAGCATTTCTTCTTGGACAGGTCCGGTGGTGATAAACTCCCTCGGCTTTTATTTGTGTGGAAAAGCCTTGTCTCTTCTTTATTTCTGTGGGATACTTTTGCTGAATAAAGTATTCTTAGTTGGCAGGTTTTTTCTTGTAGCACGTTGAACACATTGTTGCACTCTTGCCTGACCTACAAGTCTTCTGCTGAGAAATCCACTGACATCTAAAAGGAGGACGCTTTCTCTTCTATGTGACTTGTCTCTTTTCTCGTGCCGCTTTTAAAATTCATTTCATCTTTCATTTTTGTCAGTTTGATTATATGGTGTCTCGGTGAAAACCTCTTTAGGTAGAACCTGTTTGGTCAACCTTTGAACGTCCTTTACCTACATGATCATATCTCTCTCCAGACTGGGAAAGTTTTCAGTCATTACTTCTTTAAATACATTTCTGTTCAACCCCTCTCTCCTTCCAGAATTCCCTTAATCTATAAATTAGTTCTCTTAATGATATCCTGTAACTCCTGTGGTCTTTTATTCCTTTTCATTCTTTTTGTCGTTGTCATTATGTTTTGCTTTTCTCTAAATGGAAAATGTCACATATCATGTCCCCAAATTCACATATTCCTTTTTCTGCCCTCCAATTTTTTTTGCTCCAGCTGTGTGAGGAACTTCTCCAGCCTAGGACCCCAACCTCAAATGCACATCCTCTCATCAGTGGGTTGCAGTCAGAATCAATCCCTTTGTGTGGAGATGATGGTCAAAAACTCCTATTCTGCCATATTCTTGTTTTAATATTTATTTTCTTATTTTATTAGCACATGTTTGCAGTTCATGTAGTTTACAGTCATCTGGGGAAGTGGTTACGTGTACATGCCACAACTTGTTTCTTTCTTTCTTTCTTTCTTTCTTTTTTTTGGGGGGGGGGTACCAGGGATCGAACTCGGGTCCTTGCGTTTGCGCAGCAGGCGGCAAAACCACTGAGCTAAATCCCCGGCCCCAATGTTTCTTTTTTAATCCCCTTCCCTCTCCTTCCCTCCCTCCTCCTCCAATTCCCCATATCCCATTTTTCATTCTTGTTGATATTAATCTTAGCTCATGTTATGGCATATAATGTTTGTATTTATTGAGGTTATAAGGTTCCTGTACATGGCATGTCTTTATTCTACTTATTTCCCCTTCCCTTCTCCTTACTCCTAGTGGTTTTTCCTTTGGACCACTTCCCTATTTGGAATAAAAAAAATTTTAAAGAAAGAAACATGCTATAATACGTACATGGAACCATTTCCCAAGACAATTGTAAACTACATGAACTGCAAACATGTACAAATAAAATAAAAATTGAAAACAGATCCATCTCCTTTTCCTCTTCTATCCATACTCTTGACATCATTTCTGCACCTCATAAACTTTGACTGGATGCCAAGCACTTGGAATTTTGTCTGTTTAATACTGGACTTCTTTTTCATTCCCTTCAACATTTTGGAGCTT